GTGGGGTTTTCTTGCATATGAATAAGCTTTTGGGAAAACATGTGCCATAACTAAGGGCAAGTATGGTAGAATGGACATGGGTTTGGGTGGACTCCAGGAGCTGATGATGGACAGGGAGGCCTGGCATGCTATGGCTCATGGGGTCACAAAGAGTCGGACATGACTGAGTGACTGAACCGAACTAAAGGGCAAGTAAATTACAGAAAAGTTGAAAATGGACTAATGCATAACATCAAATCAAAAGAGAAGCACAGATCTTTAAAACACTGTATTTAAAAGTTATTGAGAATAATATAAAATGCTTATTTAAAGCCTCCAAAAGACACAGTAAACCAAATATTTTGACTAACATGCATTTTATTCCTCAAAATGTGATTGTATTGATCCCAGTCAGAAGTTTTGAGTGCAGTAAGGAGTGTAGAATGTGCAGATATTAGAGCCAGTCACACCTGTTTTCTTAAAGGGAACTTGTAAAACTCCCAAGCCATCTCTTCATCCTAGAATGGCTAGATTGTTTTATCCTGAACCCAGGCTCGGACAAACTTCACGAACTCAAAATATACCCACTACAGTATTCCTGCCTGGAGAATTCCATGGACAGAGGAGCCTGGCAGACTGCAGTCCATAGGGTCACAAAGAGTCGGATACGACTGAANCAGACTGCAGTCCATAGGGTCCCAAAGAATCAGACATAACTGAGCGACTAACACATACAACCCATTTTTAAATAATAGGTAATTAAATTAATAGATTTTTAGATCCTTTCTCAAAACTCTGTGAAATGTTTCAGTTAAGAGAAATTTAAGAGAAAGTACCTTAGCCTTCTAAGTGATAAGATACAATCTTGTCACTATCACGTGACTCTTCTCAAAATTCAGTATCTCAAAGACTGAATTTCATAGACAAAAACCAACTGTGAATCAGATTATAATAACAGTAAAGATTATAGGCTGCTAAAGTCTCTTAAAGCTTAAATAATAACACTTGCTACACTCACAGAGGGTAAGAATGATCCAAGATTGATTACATCATAATATGATGACTTGGTATAAATTCTGACCTTTTGATGTTATACTTTAAAATGTGTCTAATGATTAAATAAATGGATTCATATGCTCAGCTACAGCAATCCCAACAGTATCCGTCTTTATTTTGCTTTCTTTAAACAGCCATTTTCAAAACCAACAATCTTTTTCAAGTCACTCAAATGTCATGCTACCAACAACCTACATGTCAAAACCTACATGTCAAATCACGTACCAACATGAAGAGACTGCAGTAAAGGCTAAACAGGCACATCCTGAACCAGCACATCAATTATTACACTTAAACCTGAAATCCAGTTTAGTACACGTGTGTAATACATCAGTTCAGTTCAGTCACTCAGTCGTGTCCGACCCTTTGCAACCCCATGAACCGCAGCACGCCAGGCCTCCCTGTCCATCACCAACTCCCGGAGTTTACCCAAACCCATGTCCATTGAGTCGGTGATGCCATCCAGCCATCTCATCCTCTGTCGTCCCCTTCTCCTCCTGCCCCCAATCCCTCCCAGCATCAGGGTCTTTTCCAATGAGTCAACTCTTCGCATGAGGTGGCCAAAGTATTGGAGTTTCAGCTTCA